GACCTACTCTGAGAAACAATTATCCAACAGTACCAATAACTCATGACAATACAAGGCCTCAATAAAAAAAAAAACACAACAAAAATCAGAAGCTTCTTGTTTCTTAATGTATAGTTCACCATCAAGACCTATTGATCCAAATTACAGCCCAAGCCATGAAAAAAAAAATATATAGGCAACTAAGGTAATATGTAGGCTTCTACTGATTATTTTCAGGACTTTTAGGAAGTGATGCTGGGAGTCTTATCAGGTATAGCTGGTTGCACAACCAACCAAAGCAACAGCAGAATAAACTTTAAACCCATGCAGTGAGTATAAGCCACTAAATTTAAATTAAGAGCTAGGTATCCAGGTATCACCTGGATGGCAGCTACAAAGATTAGCTATGAAGATTTAACCTGAACACCTGTGCTACAGCATCACTGATAAAAGTCTTATTTACACTGTTATCCTTAATGACTCATTTTCAATTTTGAAATTCCAATTAAAGCAGCTCTTTAAAGAAATTGCTTATGTATTTGACAAACCTGAAGTTAGCCTCAGAATCTTACCAGGCAAGATGCAAGCTTCAGTCATTCAGGGGTTATACAACCATGCTGATTTTTCATACAACCACTGTTTTACAGCAGTGTTCTTAGAGCAAAAAGTAACAGCACTTTTTTTCTACAGGTTTATAAAGCTAGATAGATACCAGGTTAGATACGCTATGTTTCTTGATTTCTAGTAGCCTGCTAAGAACCAGTCTATTCAGTCCACATTTTCTTTACTACACTGTCTTTCTGCACCTTCTTAGCAAGTTGTTCATTAACAAGTTTTCAGATTTCCTCTCTGCAATACATTTTTCCCCTATTACTTCTTCCTCTCTTAAGAGCACAAAGTACCGACAGGTCTCATGTACTTGCAGAACAGGAATGCAAATCAGCCCTACTGAAGAAAAACCACCAAAAACCCAAAGAACTTGTCTGTCACATCACAAAAGGAAGAACTTTCTAAACCTGATACAATCCAAATGCAGTAGCTAGCAGTAAAAGGGATGAGCAGCACAGATTTTAAAAGCAAGTAATTTTACTTGTGGCATGCTAAGTAACTCAATGCAGTAACTCTACAATAATATCAAAAATACCTGTCATGTTGTGATTTCCTTCACAAAGTGATGAAGTTTTTCACAATACCGCAAACATAAGTATTTAATATTGCCTTGCAGTAAGCTTTGATTCATGAATCCATGGCAAATCCAAAATGCAGCATCTAAAATGTTCTTAGTCCTAACCTGACACTCCTCTCAATGCTTATTCAAATATTTTTTCTGGGTTCTCTTAACAATGCAGTGGAGAAGCAGTAAAGATTCTCTGGAGGAAAAGGCTACCAAGAAGTAGACAACCTGTATTTACTGGGAGGCAACACAGAAAAGGAGTACTGGCCTACATATCCAAAGTCAACAACTGAGAAGGGAAGAAAAAAAAGATCTCAGGAAAATAGGGTAAACCAGCCATGGCACACATGCTCAATAAAGACTGAAGAGAACCAGGTGGCTTGGCAGGTATCCAAAAAAGAGACAAGAGATATGAACCATGAAAGGGAACAGGTAGAAAAACCAGACAGATGGAAAGGATATCAAGTGAAAAGCAAAGCCAGACTATTCAGATGCAATCAGAACAACGGTTAATTATACCAGCTATATTTCTGGCTTCATTTAAACTGTGCTAGACACCTTTTTTGGAAACCGTTCCCTATCTTTTCTAAGCCTCCAATGTATGCTTTAGTTCTTCTATTTAAGTATTGGTATGTTCAAACACATTGAAATTCACTTTACAAAAACAACACTGGAAGAGAGCAAAATCCAGTAAAATTGTTATTTAAACACATGCTCAGCCTATGTACAGTGCATGAAAGCCCAGAAACTTTTTATACCTCTCCAGCCAAACAGGAGTAGCTTACTGAGGCTGAACTCCATTAAACAGAAGTTTCACTACAGTTTTATGCACTGAAGACTTAAAAAGGTACTAATTAAGTAAATCCATATGGGTGTCTAATAAAATGTATTATTCTCCTGAAAGGTCAGCAGATTCAGCAGTCTGCTTAAGGGTCAAAAGGGCAAATGTCACTCATACAGATAAAGCTAGTAGTTAGTCTACTGCTACAAATTACTTAGAAGAGAAGCCCTTACAAAAGGGTCACCTACTTTCAAAGCCTCTGTAGCTTTCCCCAAAGCACAGACACAGTAGTTAGGTGCACCTTATTATACTTGCATTCCGAATAGATGCAAATCCATTTCTTTGCTCTCAAAGAATAAGGACTAGACCCCTTCATCCTATGATGGCAAGTACCCAACAGCTGCTCAAGAACATGATGTGCAATAATGCAGAAAAAAAAATTGCAATATGGACAGACATTGGAGAATGCTTGCTTTCTGTGAAGCTAGATCAGCAAACCAGTATGATGCAGTCCACATATATAAAAGTGGCAAGAAGACTTTTGCCAAAGTAAACGCAACTGCCAGCTAGCACGGTTTTTACACATTCTCAAGTTTCAGACCATCCTCTATTCTCCCAATCCAGAAACCATCAAGCCATTCTGAAGTGGTATCTCAGAGGAAAAGTTTCAAAAAAATTCAAGAATATCTGTGCTAAACCCTAAAGCTTTAGAAAACCAGTACCAAAGTCAGAAGTACACACTAATAAGGATGAAAACACTTTAGATAGCCAGATTACAGACATACTCTCAGACTAGCCTACCACCTAGGAACATATCGGTTTCCTAAAAATTCTTCCCCTTCATAAACTTATTATGATCATGCCAAGTGAGAAGAAATGATCTAAAAATACAATCTGTACTGACTTTTAATCAGTTGCTGATTTTTTTTTGTTATGGCTTTTAAATTGCATTTAGAAATGAGCATGATGGATTTTCATTTTACTTTTATGTATGAGCACTTTACCAACAGTTTATGCTCTCTTAGCTAACTGGGAGCAGACTTCCTTGTATTTCACGTATCAACAAAAGTAGAAACACTAGGAAAGCAAACTAGAAACTCAAGGGAAGACGTTTACAGCCATATTCTTTGAAAATGTATGTGAATTCTACACTTAACCAGGTAGAATGATCAAGCACTCAGATGCTGGACAAGCAGTCTGTAAAAACACAAGTCTGAGCCAACACTGGTTTAACCAGCATACAGGACTAACATACAGGACTATTTAATTCCACAAAGAAGGCAAGGCTGTCAAACACACTACACAGGGCTTCCAGAACATCCCCAATTTACGTATTTCTGCTGTGAACGTGCTGAGTCACAAGTACTTGTTACTATATATATATATAAAGATGACTCACATCACCGATACACCGCATGTACCTGCTAACTTCTGATTTTCAGCACCGTCAGGACCATGCCAAAAGCCACCCCAAAAGGCACTGTTATTCCCAGGAGACAGCTCTGCACACGGTGCAGCAGTTTTCACCGGCTCCATCACTATTACCATCAAGGTCCCTCCCCCGACTCGGGGCGAGGCGCTGCCGTCGCGCTGCAGCACCAGGCACCTTGCACCAACAGCCCCCGGAGGGCGGGTGGATGGGGTATGCTGGGGAGGTGTGTTTTGACGTAACGAACCCAGAGCCTGAGCGAGACTCCCCGCACCGAGGCGGTGGACCCAGGTGGCCTCGCCCTGCCGCACCAAGAAGGAACGCGGGAGGCGGATGCGCAGCCACCTCCCATGCGAGAGCCAGCCTGCTCCGTTCCGCACAGAGAAGTGAATTTAGAAGGATTTCAATTAAAAAAAAAAAAGAAGAAGAAAAAGGAGAGCCGCATCTCCCGCACCTCCTACCTCAGGAAGCGGCTCGGACTCCGGCCCCGCCCCCTCCCCACAGAGACCGGCCCCGCCCCCCTCCGTCCACAGCGCTGACCTGATGGGGTTGATGCGCAGCTGCTCTTCCCGCAGCCCCCGCCAGGCCCCCGGCAGGAACTCCTTACACCACAGATACGCCTTGCGCCGCGTCCGGGGGTCGAGCGGCGGCTCCTCTCCAGGCGGCGGCAGCAGCAGCGCTGAAGGCGGGGGCGTGGCACCCCCACCCCTGCCCGCCGCTACGGGGTCTTTCCGCTCGGGCTCGGCGTGAGCCAGGGGCGAGGGGGGCTGCCCGGCGGCGGGCAGGACGACGGCCCCCCCGCCGGAGCTGCAGCCCAGGAGGAGCCCAAGCGGGGAAGGGTCGGTCTCGCCGTTACAGAACTTAGTTTTCATAGCGTGAGGCGGGCTGGCGAGGAGGCGGCGGCGGCAACGGGGAGCGGGCGCAGCGGCCGTTGGGGCGAAGAGCGAATGGGCGAGAGAGCGCGACAGCTCACGCGCTCCACCGCTCCCACACCTCGCGTGCTTCCTTCTGCCGGGAGCGCCAGCAGCGAGTGAGCAGCGCGCTCGCGCCCGGCCCCCCCTTTTATAGGCAGCCCGGCACGCGGGCCCGCTCGCCTCACGGCCTGATTGGACACCGGCGTTAGGCTGCAGCCTGGAGCGGAGCTGGATTGGTTCTTCGGGGAGGGGGCGGAGGAAGAGGGAGAAGCTGCGAGCGGGCGCGAGGGGTGTGCGCGCGCGCCTGTCGGGTCCCCGGGCGCCTGGTGATTGGCGAGCGAGGGAGCACGAGGCGCCAGCCCGCTCGCGTCCTCGCGGTCCCCCCCCGTGGCGGGAGGGGCGGGCAACCGAGCACGGCGATTGGCGGATCCCCGGTTGCCCCGGCGACCGGCGCGCGCAGCTCGGGGTCGGAGCGGGCGGGGCAGGGAGCGCGGCGCAAGGTGACCCTTCCCCTCTGCCCCCCGCGGCGCCTTAGATCCCCTGGGGTCCCGCTTCCCCTTCCCGCCGGGCTAAGCGCTGCGCCCGCTGCTGAGGGCTCGGGCCCGCACCTGCCGCTCGGCCCGGCGGCTCAAGCCTGCTGAGGATGTAACTGGGGAGGCCCGAGCCAGAGCGGTGCCGCCACCGGTGTGTGGGGCCGAGGCAGAGGGGAGCGCTGAGGGCAGCGGCAGGAGCCGCCTTCGCCGCGTCTTTGGTGATGCGGTGTTAAACTGAGCCGGTACACCCCAAGGGCTGGCTGTGCTTTGTAGCGTGCTGCTGCCGTTCACCCCCGTGGCTTGCCACAAAAACGTGGGAAATGTCTGCTGCACGGAGCGGATTACAGTAACCAGCAGCATGTTTATTTAAGGCTGCCTCTTACGGAAAGTTATTGAGTTTCCTAGTTCTCATGTGTGAGGGCTGATTCATGCCTACGTCTCTCTTGGCTCAGGAGGAAATCACATCTGAACAGAAAGGTAAGCTACACGAAGCTCAGAAGAAAATAGTATCTGTACAGAAAAGTAAGCTACAAGGAGAAAAATAACTTCCACATGCAGTGTGAGTTTCTTTGTTGGTTTTGGCAGTGGAAAGATCTTCTCCTGTTACGGGAAACGTCAGCGCCTGCCTTAAGGTCCTTGGAAGCACATGAGTGTCAGAGCCGTGATGTCACAGCCAGCTGGAAGGAGCCACAGCTTTCCTTGCCCTCCTGCAGCCACCGGAGATGGACACGGCCCCTGGTATGTTATATTGCCTCGTCACAAATGAGCAATAAAGAAAAATCACCTTTAAGCTTTGAACTACCTTTACTTTGTGATTTTTTTTATTCCTTTGACTGTTCTCCCTTGATAGTCTTCTACTGTATATATGAGAAGCTTGTGGGCTTTTTTAATAATAGCTGCCGTTGTTGTGGCGATCACTGAAATTGGGGACTGCGGGGCTGTGAGGGACTTCCTAATATGCCCCTTCCCTCATCCCAAACTATTTCACTGCAAGGGCAGCTCCCACATTTTGTCTGCACACTGCACTTTGGCACTTAAGTGCACTTTCAGTGCTGGAAAAAAAAACAAATTGCCCAAGTATTTACAGAGAAGGGACAAGAAAGCTCCGGAACTGGCTTCAGAACTGCTTTGTGTTGGCAAAGCCGCTTCAGCACAACCAAAACTGACACGGCTGAGTTATACCAGACCGTACTTTAGAGGAAGTTGCATGAGTTAGGGAGGCCAAACTGGAACAGAAGAGACACTGTTTCTGTGTCTCCCATTTGTGCCTCAGCTCTTCATTTATGAAATAAAATCCCTTAATCTGAGCACAGATTAGGATACTGGAGAGGGTGACTGCAGTGGCTGCTGGAGATGGCAACACAGGGTGATGAAGAAGCCTTTTCTTTTGCAGGTCCCTGCTGAAGTACCTGACAATATCACTGGTTTTGAATAACAAAAAAAACCCAACAGTTCTGCAGATGGAAAGCCCATTCTGCAACAAGTGCTGATGAAGTCTGTTCATGTGGGAAGAAGTGGTGAAAATACCAGAAAAATTCGGCTTTCTAACTGGCCCTTCTGTTTCTGAGTGCTCAAGCTTCACACTGCTTTGTCATAGCATGAGTAACAGGACCTATTTCTTTTTTTTTCCTAATTTGACTTATTTGACTGATTTTCTTCTAAATTGCTAATAGTGTGGGAAGGCAGAAAATTCAGAGAAATAAAAGATTTGTTTTTCCTGGGTAGAGAGAATTCTATAGAAAACTCCGAACTTGTTCGTACTGATACATTTTGCTGACGTAGGTTCATACCAAGTCATAAACTCTGCTTCAAAACCTCAAATAGTCTCTTTCAAAGCCTCAGAGAATAGGAGGAGATAGGGAAATTATGGCTCTATCTGTTTTATATCCTTTTGATTACAACACACCCTTAGTGTCAGTCTAGTTTGGGCTTTAGTCCCGTAATGACTTCCATTTTGATAAGTATCCTGTGTCTATATGAAGCCCATACCCACATTTCCTTTGACATTTGTTCTGCTCATTATGTCATTTATTTTTTTACACTTTATTAGTAATTAGTAACTCATTATGATTTATTGTTGAATTTACAGAAAGGGTGTAACTCACTTGAAAATTGTTCAGAGTGCTTTACAACAAACATGGCCTATCTTCTAGGGAGCCACAAGCACATACAGTGCAGTGAAGGTGAGAATAAAGCAATCATGATAGAACTCACACAGAAATAAAGTTAAGTAATCATAAGGGCTTGCGAGTTTAGTTGATATGAAGGCATATCAGTATGTTACTTACCAAAATTCTTTCATTATTCCCAGAAAGTAAATGTGGGTTAGGGAATTTGTTATTGGTTAAGATGATTTTTGTCTTTAAATTGTGCATTTCAAATGTAGTTGATTTGAATGAACAGGAAGCCATGTGGCAGCAAGGGCATGAACTTAGTTTTATTGAAAGCCTAGGCAGCAGTGCCAAAGATGAATGGTCTGAAGGCGTGATGCAAAACCCAGTAGAGTATGTGGAAAGACAGGTACTGGTTTCACTAAACATGAAAATATATAATTTTCTTCTCTTACCTAAGAACCTGCATGGTTGGGCGCAAAGCATGCAGGAGGAGCAATGTAGCAGAAATTATACTACTTCATACAGTATATTTTAAATGGACAAAGAGCAATTCTCATCTTAGAGCTACTAAGATGGTACTTTACGTAAGTTTTAATTCCACATTCAAATAAAACAATTGGAAAAAAAAACCCAAACCTCTTCTGCTTGTAATTTTTTTTTTTTTCTGCTGCTAAGGAGAAATCTATTACACTTAGATAATACATTTAGTCAAATTCAACAAAACTTCAACTTCTGCTAATATCAGAATATATTGAAACCTAAAAGGCATCAGAAAAAACTCAAAGAATGAAATTAATTACTGAATATTGGCTCAAACACTCCAAGACTGAGCAATTTAAATAGTGGACTTGGATTTAAGATACCTGATTATGTTCTCAGCAGCAACTCGCTCCTGTTTCCATTTCTTGTGCACTACAAACACCTTGTTGTTAGGTAACAATGCAGTATCCTACCCATTGGATTAGTCAATCAACCAGCTGTCTGCTTAAGTAATGGAAAAAGGCAAACATGTCTTCATGTTCTGATGCCAGATTTTACACTATACCTACCAAGATGCATTAGCACACTTTTTTTGTAGATGGCACACATGAGTTCTGTATCTATGTTCAATTTCAGGTTCCATTCAATAGGTTACTCTACTGCAGCATCTATTAAATGAGACCCATTAAGAGAATAAATCTTCAGCTGCCTGAATCTCCTGGATAACCTGTCTTTAAAGCCTGTGAAGGAAGTAACCGAGATAAGTAGTGTTAGGGCACAGTCAAAACACGTAATGACTAATTATGCTGTAAGCAGGGGACAACCTGGACTAAGATCCCTTCTTCTGGGGTCAGCAGGGGCTTGAGAGTGTGTATGACCTCTTCTGTCAGTGCGGAGTGAGAAAAAACTACTCTTCACAGAAATCTCCTTCCTCTCAGACAACAAAAAACAATGTTTTTTTCTCTGCAATTTACTTCCTTCTCAGCCCCATACCATGACAGTGTAATCTCTTACTTCAGCGGCTGAATACAGCGCTCAGCAACTCCACCACTTCCTCTGCAGTAACAGAAACACTTCTTCACCAAGTCTTGATGGAAATTTCTACTTTTCACTGGTTCTGAATGCAGTCAGAACCAGTAAGACAGAATATTCAATCAGGAGAAGGACTGTCTCTTTCCTATGACAATATAAATGAACCATTTGTTACTTTACTGAATTGTGTGATTTACTAAAGCTTATTAAAATATATTTCCAGGTTTTCTGTAATATTTGTATATCTGCAGCAAACAGAATTGCAGTTGGATTGATGAGTGATTTTATTCATTCCAATTGCATTAGTGCAGTAGAAATTGCTCACAAAAGAGCTAAGTCTAGAATTCTGACTTGTAAAGCACTTAACTTTCTTTCGCAAGCCTTTCTTGCTATTATACCAAGCAGACCCGGATTTTACTGGCAAGATCAAATGCAAGCTAAGGTTGGATCTGCCACATGGCACAGAAAGAATGATACTTTTGTAGAAGGTTGCAGATACTTATTTCCACTGAAAAAGCTTACAGACTTCTGAATAGCAGTTGTTGATAAATATTACTTATGGACAGTAACAGGTTGCTGTGGAGTTTGTGAAATTCCTGGAAGCAGGCTGAGACCAGAGACTTTGACATGGGAACTGCGTAGTCATTGCAAGTTTGGTGAGAGTTCAGCGCTGTCCTTGAGTCCCTCAGCCTCTTGGCTCACCTCTTCAGCGTACTGCTCACAAGTGAGCATTTTATGATAGCAAAATATTCTCAGCCTAGTTCTGTGTTCAAGATGCACTTGGAGCAGCGAGCATGCTTTCATTTTTCTGATTCCTTGGTTCTACATCTGGTAAGACCCTTAATGAATTTTGGACAGACATTAAGGCTGACGTTTCTTATTCCCTGCAGCAACAGGCAAAAAAATTCGACTCTGAAAGCCAACGATTATGAAGGTTTCAAGTTGTGTTAGCCACCTAGGCAAGATGCAACTGCAAGAGAAACTGTACAGCTGTCCCCCATTCCTCTTCCTCAGTGACAGGATGGGTAGTGTTGTTCTCCTTGATCTGTGTCTCCAGCAACAATAGTGTGTGGGAAAATCAACAATAAGTAGCCTAGGGAGAATAGGGGGACTTCGTATTTCCTCCAAAGTCCCCTTTGCTCAACCCCCTTACCAAGGGAATTTGCAACACCTTCTGTGCTTTGACCCATAGAGAGAGAATTTCAGGACTAAATCTGAGATGATCATAGGTTGTCTTATTTTCTTTCTGTATTTGTTTAATTTCCAGCACCAAATGCCAACAAAAAACCAAGGTGCAATTTTGTCCCCTGAAATATACCTGCCAGAGCACATAGAGTTAACAAGAGCTAAAGGTGAGGGATTTACCATAGGCACTGACTTGGTATTTATATGTCTTCTGTGAATGCAAGTGAAGCGTTGCATCAGAAAGCAGCCCTACTGAAATGATAATATGCTCATTCATTTGCTTTGTTGGTCTAAGGTAACCACAAAGACCTAGAGTTTGTACAGTGCCAGGTACTCCAAGCAGCATGCCAAGATAACATTACCTGGCTCAAGTCCCAGAGAATGACTTCTCTTGGAGTCAGACTGACCAAGCCTTTATTGTATTACAAGTTACTTAATTTCTTACTCTGTACCAATTTAATCTCATTGAAGAAATCCAGCTGGGAACTGTATTTAAATCTCAGATTTAAAAATACAGTAGGAATTAGCTAAACATTCTTTTATTTCTTTTTAAAATTCCATCTTTGAAACTCCTGGTTGTGTGGAGCACTGTGGTACAGTACCAGCTTCGGACCTACCTGCAACCCATGGAACAATACACTATGGGATGAGTATCACTTTTAATCCAGTCCCAGTTTAGTACTCTCTCCCATGAGTACAGGCACTTAAACATCTGGTTTGCTTTTGGATGAGCATCAAACTCTTTTACAAATCTATCCCTACTCCCCCAGATCCCCAGCAGAGTTCAAAAGTGCAGCCATGCTGCCTTTGTCAAATGAGATTCTTGAAGCAACCTCTCCTCCCAGCCTGGTGACTGCACAGAAATCCCCTTGCAAGGGAATCCTCCCAACCTATGCTCAAAGAAGAAAACAGTTGCCATAGTAACTAGTTCTCTGCCTGCACTGAACTGGCTCTCTCTTCCCTCTTAATCTTCTTTGGTTTTATTAG